TAACTACGTAACTATATCGATAATTTTCGTATCGGCGAGAACGAACAAGAANGCACGAAGAGATTTAACAAAATAATATATATAAGGATGTATACTATGCTATTAATTCATATTTTTAATAGGACCGATTCGAAGTTTGCGAGAAAGAGAAAAAAAAAAAAAATCTGGGACACGAAAGAAATTCGTTCCTCTTGTCTCGACGACGGCGGCAGGGACTGCAAGCACTTAGCCTTAATGAATCTTTGCTCAGTTGTCAACGGATGGAGCAGTGGTGCCCTCATGAAAACGGACAGTACACACATTCGCTTGCTCTCGTGCGTGTATACATTTTATGCTACACCTGTACTACACCCGTGCCGACTTTTGCCCGCGCTTCCCCTAACGATTTCTCACGTGGAAATTTGGAAAGAGATTGGTATTGGCATCCCGTATTTTGAACACCGTGCCACTTCAAAAAGGGACGCCTGCAGGCTACAACACGTGGTGACATTCATGGATGACGAAATGATACGAAGGCTCGTTCAACGGAACACATTTTTATCTGGTTGTAATAACGGAGAAGAGGAGGGAAGAAAGGCGGAGGATCGCGACATTTTCTTTCCTTTTCTCATCTTTTCACACGTCACGTTCCTATTACGTTTTATCCGAACGAGATGCTCCTCGAGAGCTCGAGAGTTTTCTCCTTGCGCGTTATACCTTGGTCTCTTATATCTTCGTTGTCCGTTTCTATTTCCATACCGGGTTTCCGTAGTAGGACGTGCCGTATGGACGGTTAATGCTCGTAGCGAGAGCGCATATGAAACGCATCAACTTGCGTTACAAGCAGAAACGGATGAGAGAAATTTTACCCGTCGCGATCGGGTATTCGGATTTTTCTCTTCCCAGAGAAATAGCTCTTATCCTATCTTGTCCGGCGTAAAGTCTCCATTTTTGTTCCGTGACGAAATAAGCGTGACGAAATAAAAAGCGCGAATCGATCGATTAATTTGGTGTATGTAATTTTGAAACGGTCTTAAAAGTTTGATTTGTCACCTCGAGCCAATGAACGAGTCGATTTTTTTTTTTCTTTTCCAGGCCAGAATGAGAATAAACCGCGCGTGTTTTCGCTCAGAATGGATTACGACGAGTGGACGCCGCTTGGACGCGGCGATCCCCTGAAGAACAATCCTACCTTCGATTACGTCCCCCCCGTGCTGGACAGGGTTCAATATTGGCTGGATTCTCACACGACCGAGCCGTCCACCAAACGGGATATCCTCGTCCTCGGTGTAACCGCGAAGAAGACCAGCCCGAAGATACCGGAGCAATTCTTGAAATTCGTGGACGGGCCGAAATTCACGAGATCGAGTCACCAGGATTCCGTTTCCTCGTACAGGAACGACTTCACCGGGAGCACGGGGGCGGAACCGCCAAAACTGGTGCGGACGAGCAACTTTAGAAACGGGCCTCTCGACTACAGGAATCAAAACAGGATTCAATCGATACCGTCCAGCTACTATCCGAGCCCGTTCTACAATCAAAAAACGAAGCCTTACACGATGATGCTTCCCCCACCGTTGACGCAGAAAGACAAGATCGTGAGCTTCGTCGAGCCCACTCAGCAATTCAACACTCAAACGGAGGAAGGGCCGGTGCTTCAGGATGCGCAGTTCTACGCGCCTCTAGCGCCCTCAAAGACGTACAATCAAAAATTGCAAACCTCGCAGTTGAAATTCCCTCCGAGCAAAAGTTCCATCTCCACGCAGGTGGAGACGATCAAGAGCGTGTACGGGCCTTCGTCACCGCAATCCACCAGACCGAAGCACGAAACCGCGGCGACACCATCCGTCTCCCTGGAAAAGTCCAATTTGATATATCAGTCGACCCAAACTCTTTCCGGCGGATGGCCCCCCTCACCAGGTGGCGGCCCCTTATCGACATCGACGACGTCGAACGGTGTCCGCCAGGCCACGGATTATTCGGGCCGCGATCAATACGAATCGATCGACCACCAAGCGGCTGCATCCTCGAATCACGAGGTGGTCGTGGAACAAAACGCGAACATAATAGTCGACGGGGATAGCAACGAGAACGAAGAGGTAGTGGTCGGTCAAAAAGGTGTGGATACAGCGTCCCCTGTCACGATCTCGATGACGACTACCACGACGACCGACTCGGTCAACGATGGAAACGAAAACGCGCAGGACGAGTCGATCACGTTACCCGAGAAGATGCACATCGTCGTCGCTAATTCGCCTCATGGCCTCACCGAAACAGAGGCGACCCACGAGGCGAAAAAAGGGCCGGTGGCGGTGGTGATGCCGGCCAATTACTCGGAGAAAAAAGTGACTTACGCGACATCTTCGAGCTCGGTGACGCCAGCGATCACAGCGGTGGAGACAATAGCGACCCCTAGTCTTCCGGAAAATTCGACGACGATGACGGAGACGGAGACGTCGAGGGTCGAGTTTCAACCGATTCGAAATTCGGCGATCAGAGGACCTTCGATCGTCTCGGAGAATTCTCAATCCCCTTTATCCCCGAACAAGATGATGTCGGGTGTTCAACAGCACGGGATGCATTTCCACTCGACGATGGCTCCTCCATTTTCGTCCCGGCGCCCCGTCGATTCTTCTTTGCTCGGATTCGGACCACCGCAAGCTCCCCTCTCCTCCATGATGCATCCACAGACCAGGCCCAACCATGGAACGATGCACGTTGTCGGCGGTATGCGTCCAACCGTCGGTTTCCGCGCTCCAGCCTCGATGCCCATGTTCCCACCAATGACGCACATGCACGCGCCACCGCCTATGAGATCGACCATCGATCACGTGGACCATCAGTCGGGGGCGCATCGGTCGCCGCAGTTGCACAATTTCCCCGCTATGTCGCCCGACTCGCAGCCACTCCCTACTTTGACCGCGCACTCGATCGGTCAAAGCGAGGAGCACTATTTCGACCGACACCGATCCCGCATTCCGGACACCAGCACCGCGTCCATCTTCACCACGCCTACCGCACCTTCATTCTTGCCCACCGTCTCGTCCTCGGCCGAGAACTCGCCCGTGCCTCTTTTCGACGGGCACACTCGACACC